ACAAGCGAATAGGGCCAATCATAGCCCCTTATATTACGTGCACAAGAAATATTTGAGTCTTTCTGTCGAGTCTTATGCCTACACTTCCTAATATATTTAGATATTTTAACAGGTGCTCTGAAAGAGTTACCATGCCCTGTCTCATATTTACAACCACTACAGTACTTATTCTACTACAGTACTTATTCTACTACAGTACTTATTCTACTACAGTACTTATTCTAGTGGTTAACAAAAAATAATAAACTTTCAGCAAATCTAATAAATATTAACTAATGGTTAGAAATATGGTAAATTTATGATTCTGTTTGTTTCTATTACGTGAAATTCTGCATGAACAGTATTTTTTAATTTTTCTACTCATTCATCAGATATAGATTAAACATCAATAAAAATATATTTAAGATATATGTAGAAATATTGTTTATATAATATTGATAAGAGAGCATGTTTTATAAATTTACTACTTTCTTGTCTTTAAAGGGAAGTTCCATGTGAAATTTTCAAAAATTTAATTGCAATTGATGAAATAGTGGGAGTTTAAAGAGTTTTTAAGATTCTTTGAAATGAATGAAAATAAGATATAAAGCCAGCTGCATATTAACTAGAATTGTTATAAAATTATTTTTAATTATATACAGAATTATCAAGATTTGTTAACATTTTAAAATTATCCTTGATTTTTTTCATCTTATTGTAATATGTGAAGTAGTCTTTGTTTTATGAACTTTCCTCACTCATTTTCTTCCACTTCCGCTCCTAAATCTTACTATCAATACAGGACAAATCTTTACTTTTTTAACTCCATTTGCTCCTAATTTAAAATCTTCTCACACCACCATTTTAAAATCTGTCTAATATAATCCCAGCTGATTAGAGTAAATAAAAAACATACAATATTTAACTGACTGCAGTTTATACGATGGTATCAGGACTTTAACGTAAATAAAATAATAAATATACACCATTAGGGATGTCGTTTATCAGAAAATACCAACGTTATCTTGGTTTGTAAATGATGATATCTTGGTGTACAGAAACTTGAGTTTATATTATGTTATATTGTAGATTAAATAAATATTAAGGTGTATTGTGAATGAGATTTAGCTAAGACTGATGATTTATCAATTTGTTGGGAATATTTGTATGATGATATGCAAGAAATTTTTTTGAAACATATATTTTATATTCTTTTGAAAAAAACATCAGAAAAAATTAGTCAGTCATTAAATAAATGTACAAGAAATTGTGAAAAACTGAATCACACCCCTCTAGAAGTAGACAGAAAATTAAATCAAAATGTCAAAATAAGTTAATTCAGCAAACAGAAATTGATAATTGCGTTTTATTAAGCATAATATTAAAGAGAAACAGTCAATATTTTCTGGGATTGATTTGGGTCTTTATTGTGCTTTAATAGTCTTAAGAACCACATAATCCCTTCAAATATACCTCAAACTAGAAATTTCACTGTCTATTCTTATATACGTGTGTNTNCTATATATGGCTTAATCTTACTAAAATTCCAGTGGTGAATATTTTGGATACTTAGTTTTGAAACTAAGGTATGATTGGGCGAACGGATTGTGAAGGTGCTCCTTTAACAAAATTGTGTAACGGCAGATATTTAAATTTCAAATTCGTTTCATTAAAATTTGATTAAATAAAAGCTTTTTAGACATCTATCTTTAGATATTAATAACAATATTAATAACTTATTATATATACTTGATAAAGATTCCTGTATGTGAATTGAAACGTTGAAACGTTGCTAAAATAAAGAAAGAAGTAGTATATCTATAATAGTGTTTATTTTCTAATATTACGTCTATCTTTAATTATTATTAACAATATTAATAACTTATTATATATACTTGATAAAGATTCCTGTATGTGAATTGAAACGTTGCTCAAATAAAGAAAGAAGTAGTATATCTATAATAGTGTTTATTTTCTAATATTACGTCTACCTCTAAATATCATTTAAAGATTATTAACGATGTTTTGTTTGTGATAAATTTTAATTTCCTGTGCAGATTAAGTAACAGAAAAAACAAAAATCTATCTAAATTTTTCAATTTATCAGAATTAAAGAGATAATTTTTATCATTTTTCTGGAGGCAGACCTGGGAAACAGATATGAAGTCGAAAAAGCATTTATACTGTTTGGCTGGAATCCAAAATGTTCGGTTAACGGCACGACCTGTAAAAGATTTCAAGTAGGACGACTTTAGATCAGCTGATTCTGTTTTATTTTCTTGTTTTGGTGTGTTTGTGGGTTTTTTCTCATAGACTGGCTTTCTTCCCATTTATTAATGATACCAAGCTCTTGTTCCGCTTTGCAAGATGTTGTCACATGAACAATTTATGATCTAAACTACCAAAATTTAGTACACACTGTCAAGATCCTTCATGAAAAATTCAATATATTTGTGGTGCCATTCTGTATATAAACCAGTAATGTGTTAAGCAATATAAAAACTTTGCACCATCATTTGACCCTGTAAACAAAGTAACGGTGGGGATATCTTGGACAGGTTTTCAATTAATCTGGATGAGAAAATGTAATTTTCTTCGTTAGGAGAATAATCAACGTTGGCCAATTTTTTTTAAGTTGACCCAATTTTAATGATGATGTTTATGACACTGTTTGACCTCTCACCCCGACCTGCATTGATGACGAAAGTTTTTGTAAACTGTAATTTTCTGTCTACCATTCTTGAAAGTGAAGTAGTTGAAGTGATAAGACAAGATGTTACATTAACAGGCAGCGTTTACTAATATTTATCACTGTTTGTTGGTGAATTACTACCATTTAAATAGTCTGCTTGATATTTTATACAGCTCATTAAAATTGTGGAATCCTTTATCTATTAGAGTACTTAAAATGATAAGAAAGAATAGAATTGTGTAATAATTATCAGACTTATACTGATAATCTGCTGGTAAAATGAGAGGATTCATCTGGTTCTTGATTCGCCATGTCTCGATTGGTTCCCAATGCCTAAAATAGTTTGTGTACCATATAAAACATTACTAGCTATGTGGACTCTCTGAAAGAGATGATGAGTTGACAAACCTAGTTGCCAAATAAATATTATAAATTATGTGAACTCTCTGAAAGGGATGCTGAGCTCACAAACCCAATTGCTGAATGGCAATAGGTGTTATTTAGCATTTCTTGCTTTGCAAGCTACCTTTACACAGTGATTAAATCATAGTGCCACCCAAATTCTATAATATCTTTTTGCGTGAGCTCAAGAATTCTAAAGAATAACCTAAGGAAAAGTCTTGTCCACTAGTAATCATAGGCCTATTGGTGTATGATAAATGTGTATATAAAAATACATAGTGTTGATACATTGAAAGATTCCCTTGTAGAAACAATGTTAAAGTAAACACGTATTACCATAGAGGCCGTATAAAGGAGATCATATTTAATATAAAGTTTATGAAATATCTTGAGAAAGATTTACAATTGTATGTCTGGATCAATATAAAATAATTCTCCCTTACACTAGACAAATGCATCAAGACTCTATAGGG